ACTTTAAATGCTAGAGAAAAGTTTATGCAAATATAGAAGTTTATAACAGTCTGAGCAGATTTTCTTTTACAACCCTAAGGACTGGGCAAATGTTTCACAGGGAGGTAAACTAAGTCACCAAGAGGTTTTGCTGGTGTTTTACGGTCTCCTGACAAGTCAGAGGCAAAACACCAGAATCTTGGCCAGAGTTTAAAATTCTGCAGGTTAGTGTTAGAGCATGATCCGCTTCCAGGCTGGTGGGTTTTTTGTTTGTTTATTTTCAGTACTTGTTAAACATGGACTTTTTCTGAAAGGGTAGTCACAGACAGAGTAGCTCAAATGGTTTGAAAAGAGCCAGCTCTACAGAGGAAGGCTCTATCTTATAGCTGGGAGCCTTTCCCATGGGGTCCACGGAGTCACAAAGAGTCGGACACGACTGAGCAACTTTCACATCATGCGTGCGTGCTAAGTCACTTCAGTTGTCTCTGACTCTTTGTGACCCTGTGGACTTGTATCCCACCAGGCTCCTCTGTCCATGGGATTCTCCAGGCAAGAATACTGGTGTGGGTTGCCATGCCCTCCTCCAGAGGATCTTCCCTCCCCAGGGATGGAACCCAGGTCTCTTATGTCTCCTGCATTGGTAGGCGGGTTCTTTACCACTGAGTCACCTGGGAATTACATAAAGGGCAGCGGAATCATGGCAAACCCTGCCAGACCCTTTGTAGCCTGCAAGATTCATCTCACTCCTCTGGTTGGAGACTGGTTCTCCTGTGGGGTCTATTTATGTATCTGCCTTTCTATAAACCGGGAGATATAATTTGTCAAATCGTGGGTTCCTAGATAAGACCTTCTACTTCTTTGCCTTGAGGTTGATTAAAAACCAAGTTTTTAGTTCTTCTTCTATGAAATAAATTAGCAAAATAGAGTACGGTGAGAATAGGCTAAAATAAAAGGTACTAAAAATAAAATGTTCTCTTCTTTGAAAATTCTGTATTCACAATTTAAATGTTATCTTGACTTAGATATGAGTTTTGTCCACATTTACTTCAAGATGCAAAGTGTATTCTGACACACATACTCACACACACAAAGAAAGAGGCACTCAAAGAGACTCTGAGAAATCATCTGTCCACTTAGTAACCAGAATAGAAACAGAAATAGGAACCAGGTATAAAAATAATTTCCAAGAGTCTCTGAGTTACAAAAGATACATTTGGTTGTTGCATGCAAACTGGTCCTTCCTCCCTTACCTCTGCGTTCCCTTTTAATAGTTTCCGTCCCCCTTTTTTCTCCTCCAAGTCACAGGTTAGGAGCATATTAGCAATTATCTTTGATGGACCCACTTAGATTATGTTTACATAACACCAAGCAAAATGTTTTGGGAAGGAATTCACTATTGCGCTGGGGTGTAGGCATAAATTTCTTCATGTAAGAACCAGTTCTTCTTTACAGAATGTTTCAAAATGTTTATTTCAAACCCGGGCTCAGCCTAGTTAAGGGGTGTTTTCCACATAAAAGCCTTGTGGTTGGATAAGAACTGGCCTCACCCAGGGTGTCCTAAAACTGTCTTATCTTTTAGCACATTTTCTAACTCCTTTTAGACAAAAGAAGGAAACCAAAACAAAATTGGGGCTAACAATATGGTTAGGAAGATAGGGCATTAGCCTTTTGCTCGGAACATGTATTCCTGTGAAAATGAAGGAAATGCAAAGGAGAGAATCATGAAATTTCATAATGTTCAGAGTTGGAGGGGCTTACAGCTAATCTAATCCTCCTTCTTCTACAGATGTGGAGGCTGGGAACCACAGAGCAAAGCGACTGATCACATTTTCTAAAAACATTTGTCCTATGATCCAAGAGCTGACTGAAATATTTCAAGGCAAATTTTTCTAGATATTCCAGAAAAAAAAAATTCGAAATTCTCTTTTATTCCAAAATCCAATCATTCACATTGCCCGGAAGTCTTTCTCATATTTCTTTCAAATTTCTCATGTTTATTTGTGACAAAAAAAGTTTAACTTATGGCAAACTGCCTTAGATGTCAAATATTCTGAGACAGGACTTGGAGTTAAAGGGGACCCTGACTCTGGTCAGAGACAAATTTCTGTGGTCGCCATCATGGGCCTTCATTTTTAGCCATTTGCCCAGGTGGCACAAAAGTTAAAGAATCGCCTGCCAAAACAGAAGACGCAAGAAACATGGTTTCAATCCCTGGGTCGGGAAGATACCCTGGAGTAGGAAATAGCAACCCACTCCAGTATTCTTACCTGGAAAATTTCATGGATAGAAGAGCTTGACGGGCTGCAGTCCATGAGGTCGCAGAGAGTTGGACATTACTGAGTCGCTAAGCGTGCACGCACATACCAGACTGAGAACTGAGGGCTATTTAGCACTTTTTAGGGCTAGAGAGGAGTCCTTTTTGGTTTTGATCACTTTATTTAAGGACAGTTTAAGCTTGCCTCTTACTCTTTCAACATATCCCCAAGGTTGTTCTTACTCTTCTCTCCTTCCTGTTCTTTAGAATCTTAATGTCCTAGTCGTTTAAAATTGCCTGGGTTTTCCAACTTTCTGCCTCATCCCCACTCTTATTCTAATCCCCTAATCCCAATTTAGCATAGTATTGAGTTCTTTTTTTCTTTGTTATTTTTACTCTGTAGTTTTCTGGCTACCTTGAGAAGTTTACTTTTTTTTTTTTTTAAACAAAAGTGAATTTTACTTCTTTGGACATTTAAAAATTAATGCCTTCCAGTTTCTATGAGACTTGGTTTCTCTCTTTTTAAATCACTGCACTTCTTGAAAGAGGTCTGTACTTAGTCAATACTTAGTGAAGTGTCTTCACATCTCATTAATTCCTCAACCCATTGCAGGCTGGCTTCCACTACCACCGGGCAATTAAAACTGCTCTCTCACCAGTATCCTCCCACTGGCTAGTTCAATGGCCCCACTCTTCCTTGTCACCCTACTTGACATTTATGCAACATTTGACACGGTTGACCAGCCACTCCTGATTGAAACTCTTTCCCTTCTCAGGCGCTTTTATTTCCTCGGCTCTTGCCTCTCTAAGCTTTCTTCTTGGGCTTCCTTCGCTGGTTCCTCCCACCTTTTGATGTTGTTTTTCCAGGGGATGTGTTTCCGGTTTGCTCACACCGCACACCCTTACTCCGCCGTGTTGTTCTCAATGACCCCGTATGCTCTGATGAAGTTCTCGGGCTTATAATTGCTCAGCTGAACGCCCGTTCATATTTCCTAGCGCCTACAGGACGTTTTCACCCGTTTTCTCTGAACGTGATGGATGAGGACTATTATTCTCATGACCGTCATGATTAAATTCTCTCTGCCTTTGCTCATGCTGTTTTCTGGGTCCTTCCTTCACCTTCCCTGCTCCGAGCACTCCTGCTGATTATTCAAGACCAGCCCTCCTGCTGCCACCTCCTCTTCAGAACATTCTCTGTCACTCTGAAGAAGGGTTTCTTGTTATTTCCTTTTTTCTTTTAGAGTATTTTGATAGTGATAATGACTAACTTTAATGGAATTCTTAGATGTCAGTCTCTGATCTAAGTCCTCATGGATGATCTCATTGAATCTGCACCGAAGCCTCTGACACAGGTGCTTTTATCATCCACTGATTTTGCATGAGACAACCGACTCAGCATAATAACTTGTAGGTTTACATAATAAAATTTCAAACTCAGGCAGCCTGAGTCCAGAGTACTTACCCTGTCCCTTCCCCCCACCCCCCCATAACAGTAGCTACCTTTTACCGACAACTAACTTTGTGTGTGGATTTCTATGTATTATCCTCATTTAGGAGCTTCCCTGTGGTTCAGTGGTAGAGCCATCTGCCTGCAGTGCAGGAGACTTGAGTTTGATCTCTGGGTTGGGAAGATCCCCTGGAGAAGGAAATGGCAGTCCACTCTAGTACTATTGCTTGGAGAATCCCATGGACGGAAGAGCCTGGTGGGCTACAGTCCATAGGATCGCAAATAGTTGTACACAACTGAAACACTTAACACACATCCTCATTTAGTCCCTGGAAGACTGTTACAAAGTGTTACATGGTGCAGTTATTATTATATATATTTTATGAATGAGGAGACTGAGGCATAAATAAATTAAGCAACTCACTTAAAACTGCCTAGCCCCCAAAGTAGCCAAGTCAGAATGTACTTTTGTTTACTTCTGTTACAGAACTTCCCAGATAGTTTTATAGTTAAATACTTAAGATGTCTTTTACCCTTCTGTCAGCTCTCTGAGGGCTCTGATGATGTAGTTTCCAATTTTTTATTCTCTATATCTAGTCACAAAATAGAAATTCAATAAATGTGGAGAGAGAGACTGATAAACAGATTGGCTATTGTTGGCTTTGGGTCGTTTTTTTAGGACAATTGATATGCATCCACTTTGTTCTATGTTTTCCATAGCCAGCCATTTCTGTGTGTGTAGCATTGTGAAGCCAAATGTGAAAATGCTGTCTCTGCAAACTTTCTTTTTGAGCAAAAATAGTTTCAGTTCCCAAAGGTAAAATAATTGCTGCCCTGACAGTCTGTATCTGCCTCCCTCTCCCTTTAGCAGTTTTTAGCTGTTGTGTCCAGATGTAAGGTTTAGTTGAAGAGACCCTTACTCTATTCAGAGATAAATACCACATTTCACAGAATATAAGCCTAAGACAAATTTAAGTCATGTCATGGTTTGAAAGAGGCCATTTTGTTTTGAGTGTGGCAGTATTTGTCCATCTCAGGTACTTGCTAGTTCCATTATCTGCCCCTTCGTTCCCTCTTTCTTTCCTCTCTCCCTTCCCTCCTACAGCTGAATTTTACTGCATGCTGATACTGTCACATAAAATTCCATCTCTCCACTTTCCCCAAGACAGGCTGGTTTTGTAATTTTTGAAATGTAAAATACAATATTTTGCATCCATAAAGTACACTGTATATTCATTCTTCTTGTTTTGTTTGTTTATAAAATTACAGAAGTACTGCCGCACCTTCTTTCATTGCACTTCTCTTTATTGCCCTTCACAGATATTGCATTTTTTACAAAGTGAAGGTTTGTGGCAACCCTGTGTTGAGCAAGTCTATCGGCACGACTTTTCCAACAGCATTTGCTCACTTGTGTCCCTGTTTGGTAAGTTTGGTAATTCTTGCAATATTTCAAACTTTTCAATTATTATTATATTTGCTCTAGTAATCTGTGATCAGTGATCTTTGATGTTGCTATGACAACTTCCTGAAAGCTCAGATGATGGTTAGCATTTTCTAGCAATAAAGTATTTTTAGTTGAGTTACTTACCTTATTTTTTTTAAGATATTATGCTGTTGGACATTTAATAGACTACTGTATAGTGTAAACATGGCTTTTATATGCGTTTGGAAACCCTAAAATTCTTGTGACTCACTTAACTGAGATATTTGCTTTATTGCAGTGGTCTGGAACTGAAGCTGCAGTATCTCTGAGATATGCTTGTAATACATGGTTACTGTAGAAAATATCCAGAATATAAACTTACAAGTAGTAAAATTTAAATATCCTTTTTTGCTATCAATCTCCCTTACTTTTGGTTGCAATACCTTTTCTGTGCATTATAAACCTAAATGTGTAAAATACACACTTAATGAGTTTTTAAGTTTCCTAAACTGAGCTAACATCATACTTATTACCTTCAGCACATTTTTCATGTAATATGACTTTCCATGTCTGTGTTAATAAATCTACTTCAGTCTTCTTAATGGTAATGTAATATTCCATGCTGAGTAGTATACATTTTATAAACCAATTCCCCTTAGAAGAAAATGTGGATTGGGCTCCACATTCTAAATATACACATATCTTTGTGCCCAGGTGTAGGGATTCTGTAGCTAAGTTCCTGGAAATAGAGTTGCTGGCTCAGGAAGCATGTCTTATTATTTTGATAGCGTCTCCTTGTGGTATATGATATCCAGTGATGACCCCCACTGAATCAAACCTCCCATATTCACATCCTTAGCTGAAAATTCACATTATATCTAAGTTACCTATCCTTGACTTCACTCGTGGCTCAGCAGTAAAGAATCCACCAGCCAATAAAGGTTTGATCCCTGGGTCAGAGAGATCCTTTGGAGAAGGAAATGGCAACTTGCTCCAGTATTCTTGCCTGGGAAATCCCATGGACAGAGAGGAGCCTGGCTGGCTACAGTCTATGGGGTTGCAGAAAAGTTGGACATGACTTAGCAACTAAATAGCAACAACCTATCATTACCATTTTAATAAACATAGCTAGATCTATATACTTTAACTAACATTGAGAATTAATCTGGATCTGTAGCTTCTTTCTCCCCCTGAACATGACAAGACTGGTAACATACTTTTACTTTTTCCTCCTTCTCCATCTTTGTTTATTTTGACTAGATCATTTGGAATTTTCTTGAATTGCTAATTTTAAAAATACTATTCTTCTATTTCTTATGACATTTCCTGATAGCTATCAATATACTGAGCCTCACAGCCACATTATCAAATATAATTTAGACTTAAGTATAATTGCTAGTGGGCTTTTAATCTCATCTCCTTGTAACATGTTATACTTTGTGAAAATTCTTCTTTTGTTTTAGGTTCCTTTTTTGTCATTTATATTTTTTCCCAAAGAGATGCCTGGGTGGTAAACTTTATAAATCACTATGTGCATAATAATATCTTTTTTTCCCCTCATACTGGATTGATATTTTATCAGGTTATGAAATTCTAGATCAAGATAATTTTTTCCTAGTTTTTTGAAAGCATTTCTCTATTATCCTTTGGTCCTTCATCATTGATATGAAATATGATGGCAAAGTGATTTTTGTTTTTCAGGTAACCCATTTTTTTTTTTCTTCCTGGAAGATTTTTGGGTTTTTTCTTTGTCCTTGGAATTTAATCTCAGTACAATCTGTTTGTATTTTTTATTTGTTGTCTTTTAAAGTCTTCTGACTCAGCACTTTATTTGCCATTTTCAGGGAGAATATTCAGATTCCTGGATACTAAAGTTCTTCTAGCAAGAAAATTCTGAATTTTCCTTTATCGTTATTTCTTGCTTTTTATCTTAAAACAAACAAACAGGCTGTGAGGAACACCAAAACAACATAGAGAAGGAGAAATAACATTTTAGTCCATAATTAAAAAAAAACAAACTTCTAATGTTTATTAATCATAGTTTATCATGTTCACAATTTTTTTCCCTACTTAAATATACTTAAGTATCTAGAAATAATGCTATCATTATTTTTGTTCATGAAGGGTATAGTTATTTACAGCTAGATCCAAGAAATTTAGATTATAGAATTGATTTATTTCTGTGGGGAAAAATTTGCTTTCTGTGCCCCAAAACCTCACTCATTTTCTTATAAAAATTGAAGATGGGCTTCTCCTGAATGCTAATTTGGCCTCATTCATTATAAAAACATTTTCAACAATTTAACAAGTGAATTTAGATGACATATTTAGATTGTATGAATTCCTGAAAAATGTATTAATAATATATAACATAACATTGCAAAATATCAACAAGAATGCCCTAGCTTAGATAAATAGCTTAAATATATTAAAGGAAAAAAGTATATCTGACTGAATATCTGTGGGCTAATCTTTATCAAATGTGGCTCTGTGCCAGGCTTCCCTCTACTATTTTGTAAGCATCCTTCCTTTAATTCTCACATTAGGCCAATGAGGCAAACACTGTCACTATCTCAGTTTTACAAAGGAGGAAGCTAAAATTGGGAGAGCTTGCACAGGGTCACACAATTAACAAATGTGCAAATTAGCAAAGACCAGAGTTGAATTCAAGTTGCCGGAGTCCTTGGGAGTGTTTGCTGAAGGTGCCCAGTGGCAAGGAGAGTATTAGAGAGCTTGATCTCGGCACCTCCCAGCCAGAGAAGACATTCCGGAGGCTGTGGAGTCTGAAGGGACTGGCTGGGTGAGGAAGAGAAGGAAGTTTCAGCAAAAGACAATTTTTACAATGACACTCAGGAGTGAAGAATGTGGCTCACTGGGGAGAACTGTATATTGTTGGGTGCGGATGTAAGTATCTCTCTGTGGCCATCAACCTTTGTGAGGCATGGTTGATTTGATTCTTTGGATTTTATCAACATGTTATGTCTACATGATTGTCCACTCAGCAATTCACATCAAGTGGCAAAGGTGGTTGAAATAACAGAGTTGATGGAGATCTGGCTTCAATCAATTTCAGTCATATAAATGAGACATAGTGCTAAGATTTGGTTTCATCTATTCAGAATGGGGGATTAAATTATCATGGATTTTGGATGAAATTTATCATGAAAGCACACAATAGTTCAATCATATTTGCTCATCAAAATAACTGACAGTAAAGTTCAGGACAGCAGTATCAAATCTGCATGATTCTGGCCCATAAACATTTCAAATAAGGCTGTCCACTTATGAGCAGGCCTATATCAGGGAAGAGTGAGAATGCCCACTGGAGGAAAAATGTTAGTAAGTAGAATACTTTCAATTTTAAGCTTTCAGAGCATTTCTATGCACATAAATGAATCAAGAGCCAGTTGAATAGTTAAGAAAATGCTTTTTCACAGAGCTCTTTAAAATTTAACAGGTGTCAAAGAAATTCTACCAAAGAATCTGAAGTGCACTTTGAGTGCGTTTTATGTTCACGTTATTGCCTGACACAAGGACAGAATGTGAGACCGAGTATCTTCATCTGGGGAATGCTTAAATTCTAACTCCAGGTTAGGTTTCATCATGTGCTAGAGATATTCTGGATGATTCCATTAATTCCCTGTAAAATAAGGCACCAGTTCCTTTATATCTCATTCCCACAGAGCATAATGAAAAACTTGCAGTGGTGAGTTGTACTGTGAATTTATTCAGTCATCTACTATGACTGCTCTGTGTCATGTTTATCTGTGGAGCCAAAGCGCTGTGTGTGTTAGGTTAAATTCCTTCTGTAATTTGAACCCCTCTCCATCAGAGTGATCTCTGACCACTTTTAAGGCCTTAGTATTCTTTCAAAAACAACGGCCTTATCTGTTCAGATCTCACCCTGAATTCCAGTTGCTTCTGAATTCCAATCAAAGAAGACTGAATAATCCAAGTCCCTTTGAAATTTTTGATGCAATCCGATGTTGACAAGGATCTCCAGAGCAGTCTATGTGAAAAGTATGCTCTCCTGTTGGATCCTTGCCCACACTGGTTCTTTGTATCTGATTCAAAGCTGTTTAAAACAAGGTTTCTTTAAAGTCTCATCACAGCTTGGATAAATTGACTTTAGTGGAAAACATCTTGACATGTCAGCTTCACGAATTTAGAAAACCTAAGGGTTTTGTCAGAGAAAAGTGGTATGATTAAACCTTGATATGGTTTTTAAAAAGTGGATTGAAACAAAACTATTGTTTAAGAGATGGGCGATATTTCTAAGGAGTGACTTATAGTCAGAGTGGCTGGCCAATAGGATTTGTGATTCTCACGCAACATCAAAGAGGGGATGGAGGCTATAAGGATACATTTACAAGTCACAACATGTTTTCTGGGGCATGAACATTCTCCTCTCTCCTCTGGCCCCTGCATTTTATCCTTCAGTGGCCTTCTATTACGGCTCTTCTCGGAACCTCTCATATGTGCACTTAATCTATTTATTCTTTTGTCTTGTATTCAAGTTGTTCATGTGTTATCTTGCCTCCACAATCAGATTGAAAGGTCTTGGGGATCAAGGGCCATGTTTTACACTGCTTTTGTGACAATCACAGCATCTAATAATATGCCGAATTCACAGGAGACCCGTCAATCCTAGTAAAGTGGAACCAAATTGAGTAAGTAGTCTTGGTAATCTTGACCCAGAATCCACAAAATCGACTCATCCTCACTGGCAGCCAAGTTCCATGCCCAAGTAGTCTTCTGCGTCAACTATCCACATACAATCTTCTCCTCAAAAGCCAGCTTCTTTATGGGAAAATTGCAAGGTTTTCCTAATCTGTAGTCCCTTTTCTTCTTCTTGAGTGCCAGGTCTAAGTATATGGCATTAAATTTTTTTTTTCTCAAAATTAACAGAATAAGAACTATACCTGTGTGGTTGTCTAATCTCATAGAATTTAATAGCAAATATGTGCTTACTTCCTTG